TATATATATATATATAAAGAACGAAATGAGGGGAGAAAAGAAGAGAGATCCAGCTAAAGGAGCGAGGTGGAAATCAGAGGGACCGCAAATGTATGCCGCCCAGCAATTCCGCAGTAGGGCTGAAGGGCTGAGCGGAAAAAGGAAAAAATAAGAGAGTGAAAGGAGGGAGCTCAGGGAGGAGAAGGAAGGCTGCGGAAGAGCGAAAATTGGACGAGAAATAAGCTGTCGAGCAGTGCTTGGCACCGAAACTGCAGTGTACTAAACTACCCAGAAGATAAATAGTTCCTTGGCAATGATGGATACAGTAGAGCGAGAGCGAGAGATTGGCTTCATGATTGAAATGATGATGAGGAACACGCCGGATGCTGTGGCTGTGCCACTGTGGGTCAGTGACTCCACTAGTCCAATGCACTAGTATTATTAGTATTGATCGGTACCAGGTACCGTACGTGGAATCTCCGAGGCTGCATGATTATCAGATGATAATGATGTATGAGAAAATGTCCTGCTCCCTCCCAACATAACATATCGAATACCTTACAAAGAAATTGCAATCACAAACATGAGATAAATAACATGGGCTCATAGTCTCAGAGTACGACAAATTCTCCTTTTCTTTTCTTTTCTTTTCCTCTTCTTTTTTCTCTTTTCCCACCTATTTAAGAGAAAGCATGCACAAGATGGAGAAAACACCTGAAGCTATCGACCTGCAAGGTATCAAACATAAACAAACAAAAAAAAAAAAAAAAAAAAAAAAATAAAAAGAAGAAGAAGAGAACGGGCCGAACAAGCATAGCAAGGCTAACGCAACCAACATGGCCCCTCAAAGCTGAAAATCCAAAGATTTTTAGGTTGAACCAGCAATCTGCCCGTGAGATCATTGCAGAGCATGACTTAGTCGAGTACCAGGCTGGAATGAAGACGATAATGGGTCATCCGCGCTTTTTGCTCCAACATCGAGTGTACTTCTATTTTCCAATTGTCGCTCTCTTGACCCAATTCTGGAGTAACCGAGCCATTTACGGCCTTTGTTGGAGTCCCATTCCAAGTGCACTCAGCAACCCTCCAAAATGAGCACGATTTTCAAGGCAATCCAATTCGGGCCGGGTCTCGATTAGGCCAAGAATCTGCTTCAGGAGGAGAGAAAGTGGGGTTTTGTGGTACTCGGTCCCTTCGAGCCCATTGTACGCTTCATCCTCAAATTTAACGGCTTCGGGAGACATTGAACTCCAGCGGTAGAAAGGAATCGACTCATACTTAGATAGGGGTGGAGTTCTGGGAGTTTTAGCGGGGCACAATGCAGTTAGACTCCCTTTGGACCTGGCTACCATCCCTCCCAGAACCTCCTCTGGAGATTCAGGAGGTGCGTCAACCTCCGGAATGGTGAAGAGACTTTCAAGTCGTTGCTCCGTCTCTGCCCTTCTCTGGACCCGGTCCTGGTGACGGAGTATGTTGCAAGTATCCAAGCCTGGTGCACACCAAGACTGGGTTTTCAAGCTGCCATCTTCTACGGACTTGCTAAACGTGAAAAGGTCGCTAGTGAACTTGCCAATAGATGAGTTCCGCTGGTAAGTTGCCTTCGTATAGTCGCCCTGTGAAACAAACCATGCCCTATACGAGGCCCGTGCCAGGATAATACGACATTCTTCCATGTAACGGGTGAGCCTCGCTTTGAATCTCTCCATGATATTTCCGTCCTGCTCGAAGATAACCTCCGCGAAGTCCAGCACCCACCGGCAGAAGAGAACAGTAATGACGAGCTCCATCCCTGGATCATCACATGATCCCATGGCTATGCAATAAGGGCTTGAGCTAAGGATTCCCATGCCAACATGCACATCCTCAGAAAGCCCAGACTCTAGAAGAATGATGAGATCCGGTATGGTGATACTGTACATGGTGAACCCAAGGTCCCACACACACCAAAGATCATCGGTCTTGTTGGGCATCCACTCAAAATGGCGGGCGAATAAGGCTCGGTTGTTATAGTCAAATCCCAGGACATAGTGTCTACCATTGAAGGAAGGCCCCAAATCGGCAATGGGAAGGTTCCAAAATAGGAACTGAGGTTCTTCACCAACAGTACATGGCTCAAAAGCATGTTCTTCCAATAGCTCACTGTAATACACAGGGCGACAATCAATACCGTCATATACGAACATCCCATTGCGTCGCGCATGTGTGTCTTTCCCCCTTTCAACGGAGCAGAGGTACAAGTGGTAATCCACAACCTCCCAAGGATGGCTCACGCTGTACGTAGGAGGCTCGTTTCCCGGCTCTCTGATCTCCAAGTCGGCAGAGTCATCTGAGTGTACTGAGTCAGTCTCGGATATGTCGCTGGAGTACCCCTCTAGAATCTCTATCCTTTGAGCAGGATGCAGTGTGCCTTCGTCGAAGAAGGGCTGGCCAACAACCGAGGGCGATGCTGCGTCATTCTCATTGCCACCATCTGCATACTTTATCGCCCCCCAACTTCTCTTGAGCCTGAATACGGGGGGGACAGGCGTCTCGCTTGCTGTAGTGAAGTAAATCTTGTAAGGCATTCTGCCGCAGCCCAAACTTGGGTTCGAATGCTAAAGTTCCTCTTGTAAATAGAACAGAGACTTCAGCATCAAGGGAAGAGAGACAAACTCTTCACACACTTTGTGCAATACAGAAATAAATGACCAATAAATGACTTCAAACAAACATTCCAAACAGTTAGAAGGTGAAGATCAAACAAGCAAAAATGGATGGTGAAGGGAATATGATATGGAGATGAAGGGGCTGCTAATTGAGAGCGATATGTTGAGGATGAACGCTAGGGGATAGTTTAAAAAAAAAAAAAAAATATGAAGTGCAGGAGTGAAAGAAAAGCACTTGGGTGAACACTACCAAAATCTTTTATTAGTATCTTTAGATTACTCTAGTAATCAATGGCCCTCACAAGCTGCTGGACATAACTAGAGATTGAGTCATTTTGATTGATGGACTTCGATATTTCTATATAACCCAGTCCTGTGAACCACTACTGGCAGTCAAGTTCTACGTGTTCCACCCACTTGTATAGCTATCTATTGCTGAGAGATAAGAGGTGACGCTATTGTAAACAATAAGATGTAAACGCATGGAGTGACGTCTGATCAGATGTAGAGCCTCATGGCTTTATTCACTCACAGGAAGATAACACAAGCTAGCAAACATCAATAGAGCTGTAGCCTATACGTTGCCTGTCTGGGAGGTTTTCTTTTATTTTCATTGTCTAATACAAGATTTCTCTTTAGCATTTAAGCTTCTCATGAATGGATACCTACTGCAGTTGCTGAGAGGCGGGCTTTCTTTTTGTCCACTCTCAGCCCTTCTAGAAACCCATATGTCTGCAATAAGGGTTGCAGATTCTGGACTAAATACCGTGCATGTCCTGGTCCGTAGAACTGCTATCTTTCTTGCCTTTCTAAAGTTGGGCATTCCTTCCTTCTTCCTATTCCTATGGTTGAGATATGCAAGAACAAGATCGCAATGAGGGAAGAAGAAGAGCGAAGAAAAAAAAAGAAAAAGAAAAAAGACCTGGGTAATATACAATATGCATAAGCAAAGGATTAATGGGAGTGTATTGCAGCGAAAGTCACAGCTGAGCAGGCACGTCGTAGTTATACAGCTCTAACCTTCCCATCAACATCAATCCCGAAAGGTGCGCTCAAACCATGTCCTATTCATTCGTCGTTCGTTTTCCTTTCGCATCTTGTATGCAGTTGACCATAGTGCTCCCGCCAGGAATCCTCCAAGGTGAGCCCAGTAATCAATCAATGCTCGGCGGGTAAACATGTTGACAAATTCTAAGGCGACAAGGCCAGTTAGGACCATCCATCCTTTGGCTGAAGCAACTTCCTGCCATTCAGGTGGAAGGAAGAAAAACGTGAATTCCTCACTGTCCATATAAGATAGTCGTTAGCATGGGTTATGCAAGCTGTATCGCAAGAGCCATTCAATACGTACTCGGCATGAAGCATGCACCAAGCAGCAACCAGAGCCGAGATAGCTCCGCTAGCTCCAAGAGCAGTAAGACCCAAATTTCCTTTCAGGATATTGGCGGTTAAAGATGTGAAGGACCCAAAAACGCCAGAAGCCAAATACAGAGCTAAAAAGTCCCCACGGCCAATCTCATCATGAACTAAAAAAAATGAAATCGGTTAATGTCACGGCCACCAGACGGAATATCCAAGCACTCACGTCTTGTCCCAACAAACCATAAGACCACCATGTTCAATGCTAGATGATTTACCGTTTGATGGCTAAAGACGTTTCCGATCAAACTGAGTGGACGAGGATACGCAGCGACAGTTATAAAATAACGATTAAGAAGCCTCCAGGCCGGGGGGCAAAGCTTCCATAGAAGAAAAACACCGACATTCGTTCCTATTATAGCCATAACCGTAGCCGCTGCTGGGGGAACATCGGGCCACAACCGATCAGCCTTGGCGGGAGCTTGGTAATTGTTGGAAAAAAAGTAGCAAAGGCCAAAAGTTACGAGGGTGATGCTAAGGACCCGGAGGATACGACCGCCCTATCGGCGGAAAGGTTAGTCCAGACAAGCATGTACAGGACGTGCATCGGTAAACATACATTTGTCAACTTAGAAACATCCAAGTCCCAGTCAGTGGCTCGTAGATGGTGTTTCTGTATCCATGCGAGGAGTGGGCGTTGATTGGGATCCGCACGTTCCCGCACTACATGAGTCGTTAACACCTTTATCCCGAGAATCCTCAACACCGAAGTCTCACCTTCCAAAGACGCTGTATCTTCGAACCTCTGGAGTGCCGTATTCTTCTGCCTCATATGCTCTAGCTTTTCACGCTCCTTTTGTTCACCATCGAGCCATTCTTGGCGTTTCCTTTCTTGTTCAGCCAAGAGCCGTGCTTCATTTCGCTTCCTGGTTTCTTTCAGAACGCTTTTGCCATACGGGTCGTTCGAATCGCCCAGTTCAGCACCATAGGAGCCACTTTGGGGTTTGTAGAGACCCAGCTCTTCTGCGCGTCGGACGAGTTTTTCCTCCTCTTGCAGCTCTTCTCGTTCGATTCGTGCGAGAATAGCAGCATCCTCATCGAGCGGGTAATTCTTGCGTAGCCATTGCAATGCCGCATCGAGACTAGAAGGACGGACGGAGCGAGTTATATCGGAAGGAAGGTCAAGATCAAGGGTGCCATCAAGACGCCTACCCTGGAGAATAGCGAGAATCCTGTTTCCCAACTGAGGGGTTATCCTCGCACGGCTCCCAAAAACCGCATTAATTTCAGCCGTTGAAAAGGGCTGCGGCCGGAGCTGGACACCATATTCAACTTTAGGGGCCGGCTTGGTGCGCAAGCATCTCGAGCTTGTGAACAACCGGACTGAGCTTGGGAGCTGTTCCGACGTCGTACGGGAGCAAGACAGGTAAGGAGTCGTAGACGGAAAAAGGTTCAAAGGACCAAGGCGCCGCCCGAATATGCTACCATGATGCCATGGAGAAGACACACAAGAAGTGGAGCGCAGCGACGCTGGATTAGATGGAAGCAAGCTCAAGGAACGGGGCCCCGAGCATGGGATCCGCCATGCTATACAGAACACATTGCTCATATCCTGCGACTGGCAGTCAAATCCTGCCTGAAATGAGCTTTGTCAGCCTCTAAGTGGAGTGCTCAAAAAGTTATCAGTGAGAGTACAATATCGACAAGGACTTCGTCAGAGGTTCGATGGTGAAAGCCCACCGACTTCTCCGAGGCGCCCGAGAATTGTTCCGGTAATACACGTACATATACAGTGGACTGTGCCTGGGTAGATAGTATTAACGACAGTATGTGAAAAATACTAGATGAAGATACAATGTTAACAGCCCAGATATGCCCCTGGCCTTGCTTGGCAAATATTGATTCTGTATACTATTATTATAATATATGCCTGCACTGCAGTATAGCTGTAAGATATTGTTCAGAACGAAATTGGTGATCTATATGGAGCACTCTGTATGTAAATCTTGAATCACTCCAACCCTTTGAATGGGACTACATCAAAACATCTGACTACTCTAATAATATAAGTATTAAAAGACCTGTGGACTTATATCCTTGACCAATCCGTACCTCTCTTCCTTAGGGACCAAGGCATCAATCCCTCTTGTGTACAGAGTACAGACAATCAGTGCATATGGTATTATATAGCACCGTCACGTGAAGATAAAAAAAAAAACAATGACAAATAGTTGCCAGTTTCCGGAGTAGTGTTCAACATAAAACACACAGGAATTCAACAGGAGAAGGAAAGCCAGTAGAGACAACCCAAATAATGTCTGCAGAATCCCTTCCAATTACTCTCGCTGCATTTGAGGAAGCTATCAAAGAGCTTCCGCTTTCTTCCGTGTATGCCAAAGCCTCCGAACTCTCCAACTCCATCGCACATCTGCGGCGCTCAAATCAAGAACTAAGGGCATTCGTGAATGAGTCATGCGACACCGAGACTGAGAAAAGGGAACTAGAAAAGTATATCACTGAAAATGATGAAGTGATCAGATCGATGCAGGAAAGGAATTTGCTACTAAGGTCGGAAATAGAGGGCCGGGGTCAGCAATGGATCGAGATCGAGGACATCGCGCCAGATACGAAAGCAGATGAGAACCAACAGCCATCTGCATCTGAACCCGCTACAAATGGGGCAGCCGTAGAACGGCCAAATGGTGCGCAGCAGGAGCTATCCACCACGAGGTCTGTTCCTGATACCCAGGATGGCCACGAACAGGATGGCGTCTTTCTTTGAAGCTACCCGCGCAAGCCAAGATAGACTTGCATCCGTTGCCTAATGAGCAACCTTATCCACGCAATATGTATGAGAGCCTTTTGCATTGACAGATAAATATTTCTATATGTAGGTTCAGTCAAAACTGAACCCAAGTATATTTTGCAGACCCAAACTCTATGGTCACTAGAATTCAAGGCTCTCACGATCCGCCATTGTACCAGGTCAACCGAGCAGTCCTGGGTCTCCTTAGATGACTAGTACAGATACTTGCACTGCAGTCAATTAAAGCACTTGATGTGTCCACGTTGCTCGAGTTGGATATCCCAGGTCGAATAGATGTAGTGAGCAGATCTTCTATCCTACAATTATCACCACATGCTCACTTGGCTCTATCGAAGACAGTCATTTCCACATCACACTAGCTCTAGGAAAAATCAAGATTATCCAGGCCCCACCAACAAAACTTATCATAGAGTTCTATGCACTTATTGTCGAGGCCAGGAGCAGCAGTGTTGGCGACTAAAACCTAACAGGACAGATTGCTTTGATGGGTAAATGCAAAAGTAACTTGAAAGAGATATTCACACCATATGCTTAATGCGCAGACTTTCAACTCGAGCCGTGTCATCCACTGTCACGCTTGAACAGTCTAAGAACAGAAAGTCGAACCAATAAATCGAAAAGAGAAAGAAAGACTGGAAGGAGATGCAAAGCTTGACCGTAAGACCAACAAATTTCCAACGCCAGGTTAGAAGACGGTCAATTGTCAGTAAATGAAGGAATACAACGACTTCTA